AGAATGAGAAAAAAAAAAAAGACTTAGAAATTATTTTAACTGAAGAGTTCTTCCACAATGCAAGGATGATGAAAAAAATTAATTAAGATATTTCACTTTGGAAATTAAACCATTGAAAGTCACAAATTCGAATCATATGAGGAGCACCAAAACAAAAAATGTCTTAACATGAGTACTGCCAAATGAGAAGTAATAGTTTCATAGAATTGAATAGTTGTAGTCACATGCATGAAGAGAGTGTGCCATGCTTTTATTGGTGGAAGGTTGTCGCATGATAATTTGCATATGAGATGCATTGGAATTAGTCAATTCCAGATGAGTGGAAGTTTCAGGGCTTGAAGCATGGGCAAATTTTTTTTTTTATTATATATAGAGGTTAGCACTGAATGAGAATAGCTATTTATGTGAGAGGAGGTAATGTACCATACTGGAAACCAAAATTATCAAGTCCCTTAACAATCTTAAACACCTCAATCAGATCCCCCTCTAACTCTATTTTTCTAACTAATCTTTCTTCTTCCACAACACTGTTAAGGTTATTCCCATCAAAATTATACTCATAATTCAAATTGTGATATCTCACATGCATTACCTTGCATTTAATAAAATTAAAAGCCATCTGCCACTTATATACCCAACTCATCAAATACTTTTATAAAGCAGTAGCATCTTCCGCACAGCCAGCAACACTAATAACTTTAATTATTCATCTACATCATTGAGGTAAACCAAAAAGAACAAAGATCATAACACTGAACCCTGAGGTATCCCAATTATGACATTATTCCAGTTTGTCTGAACATTTATAACAACCCTCTTCGTTCTTCCATCTAGCCAGTTTTATATTAAATGAGTCAAACTATCTCCCACACCTACAGAAATAATTTGTTAACAATACTTTTATGTGGTATCTTCTAAACTGCTTTCTGTTTGTTTGTTTTAAGTTAAGCACAAAGCTACACAATGGGCTATCTGTGCTCTGCCCACCATGGGTATTGAAACCCGGTTTCTAGTGTTGTAAATCTGCAGACATACTGCTGTGCCACTGGGGGGCACTACTTTCTGAAAATCCAGGAACATCAAATCCACAACCAAACCCAAACAGTAACATCTTCACATAACGTGAAAAGGTTATTAAGGACTATCCAACAAAATATTAAACTTTGTTAAATGACTTTGCAAACCAAACCAGATTTTCATGCTATTGTAAATCTTATCACCTCTTTCATACTTATTTCTTTAATATCTGTAAAACATGTTCAGTATGTAATACTATTTACATATTTGGGATAAAAAATTCAATTTGTTTGTATATTTTCCAGCTACATATGAGACCATATTAATAAACATTTTGAAACTAGACTTTAAGAAAATAAAATTACTTACATGACTGACTATATATACATGTTTTTTAGCAACAACTCTAATTTATTTAATTCTACTTTAAACCTACCAGCTATTCTATATCAGTGTGCTATTAACTAGAAATCATATACTGATATACTACTTATCACTTAAATACATAAGTGAAATTATGTTCAATACGTAAAACAGACAATTTTTGTGCACAAATGTTAACTAAAATAATGAAATCAAAATCAACGTTTTTTACTTGCACAATTATTTGTAAAGATTAAAAATTAAAAAAATAAAAGTTAAAAGAAACTTAAAACTCTACATGTTTCTGTGTAAATAATTCCACCATCTTTAAGAGAATCCATCAAGAAATACACATAACATTGCTTATAAACCTAAGGTACACATATAATTAGCATAAAAAGTACAATGGCACCATTTACAACAATAATTTCAAAAAAATTATTTCGGTGGTTCCCGGGCTTAAATCTCTATTTAAATTCCTTTTGTTTTTAAGAATTTCTAAAGATTCTTTTATAATTAATTAATTTTTTTCCATTAACTGTTTAAGAATTTTTACATTATCCCAATCAATAATATGTTTAAAATTCGCCACATATTCTGCCATAGCCAATTCACGTGTTTTTAATTTATCCAACAGCATTTTGATGTTCTTTTTACTCTAAATTTTGGTTACCTAACTTGTCTGTCCAATATAACTTAGACCACAAGTACAATGAAATTTTATATATATAAC